ATAGAATAGAATAGAATAGAATAGAATAGAATAGAATAGAATAGAATAGAATAGAATAGAATAGAATAGAAAAACTTTATAAACTGTCCCAGAAATTCTTTGAAAAGGACCTCCATCAACAGGCATTCCCACAKAAGCATCTCAATAAATACGCCCGTACTTTTTCATTTCTTCCATCAAAGTAATTATTTTATGTTTGCTCACAGAGCCTACCAGCTGCAGTCAATCATGGTCATTAACAAAAATGTAGCAGGATTTGATGAAATTAAGACAACTTTTAACATAAACAATTTTTCTGCTGAGGCATTTCTTATTTTTGTTTGAGTTTAAAAATATTTTTTCTAACAAAGATGCAACAAATCACTGACAACATATTACCGGTGTGTGCTTTTCTCCTGCCTGAACGTTGTTGTTACATGACATTGTCACATCCTAAATTTCAAAGATTGACTAATCAGTTGTTCATTTGCTCAAGTAATTTGCTCATTTGCAATCACTCTAAAGCAATAAACTCAATGAAGATGCAACAAAAGTACAATTTTGAGTAAGAACTGAGATTGGCTGTTTACCTTGCAGACCAAAGTGACAGAGCAATCATCTCCGATCTGAAGTGAAAGAAATTCACTGAAGTGGGGACCTGTAGTGGACAGAGATGAGATTAAATTCCACAGTGAGCTTCTMGTCTGTTATTAAAACAAAATACCATCTTCATGTGTGCCTCCATCTGGGACTTTTTTTCTTTTTGACAAACAGAGCTTCTTCTGAATTGAACCCATTTTGGGTTTTTAGATTCCAGCACTTAACAGCCAWGATTCACTTCTTTTGTCTGCCAGGAGACAAAGCAGTGATGCACAGGTCTCTGCTTATGAGAAACGGAGCTGAAAAGCAGATGTGTTATTTTTCTTACCCTCTTTGACCCTGATGTACTCTCTTCTCTGGAAATCAGCCTCAGCCAAAGCTTTCTTGAAAGCTGTGTGCATATACATAGAGATATTAATTAAAACATAAAAGTGTTTCCAGCATATGTTTTACATTTGCTTTTTTTTAATTATGATGGTGTCTTGTATTAAAATGGARTTAATAAGTTTGAATTTGTGTTGATCGGCCTATGGTAAAACATTGCCACACACACATAGTGTACATTTTAAAAAAGAAACTTTATGCATACATGCCTCTATTAATCTCTTTTATTTTATAAACTAAATAACTTGCCAAGTTAAGATATACAGTATATGTGATTAGTTCTGTTGGACCCAGCAAATCTACAGCAAGCTTCACCACTGACTTGCTATTTTTTCTGAATAGATGTGACATAAGAAAACTCCACAATGTTTTTTTTTTTGTTGTTTTTTATAACAGACCTCCCACCAGATTTGAGTCAGTTTTATTAAAAATAGACAAGAGCTGCTGGTGGTGGGCCAACAGTAAAACCTGGCCTCTCTTACCATCTCCAATCAGAACCAGTGAGCTCTGTGCTTTGCCTCCACCATCTGTGATCTGGCAGGTAAATGTGCCTTCATTCTCTTCTGTGAAATGGTCCATGATGAACTCAATGATACCCGTAGAGATGTCGTGTCCCATCTTGTTGGGCTGCAGACAGATAGAGCTGTGTTTAAAGAAAGGCCACACACACCTAATGACAGTCTTTGTAAATGCAAGCCCTTTGTGTCGCAATAAAACAATGTCGGAGACTCTGCGGGGCAGGTAGAAAGTTGTTTTGTTCACCTTGGAAACAGAAAGTAAATTTACCATCTCTCTGTTGTTTTATTTCTGAAAACCACAGAAAATCTTACATCAGCGCCAGAGAGTTCCTTGTTGTTTGCAAAGAATTTGTAGGTGACTTTGGAGGAAATCTCTTCAGCCTGCAGCCAGAACCTCATTCTGCCTCTCTCCAAAATCTTATAGGCCAACTCCGACTTGAGTGGGATGACTAAAAGAGAGGAGAGGAAAAGAGATGAGAGAGGAAGAGTGGAGAGAAGGAGGGGAGGAGTGAGTTAGGCAGGTGATGCAAAAGCAGGTAAGAGGGATTTTTTTTTGATCAAATGAAAAAGAGAAATATGCCTCTAAAAGAATAAATAAGAAAGGTTCAAAGCCGTCAGAAAAAGGCAAATGCAAAACTATGAAGGGGAGAAACAAAGGAATTGAAACAGAAGGTAGGGCAGATTAGGATGCAGAACAGCAAACATGTAAGGGGAAGACATATTAAAGGGGATAAAGACAGATTATGAGAGATACCTACTTGGGTGTCTGATATCATAGCTGAGTGCCAGCATCTTTTCCATCTCTGAAACACAGAGCTGACTTATTAATTGCAAAGAAACAAACAAGCATTAAAAAGCCACACAATTACCACACACACACACACACACACACACACACACACACACACACACACACACACACACACACAC